TGTGTGTGTGTGTGTGTGTGTGTGTGTATACACATACATATAAAATTTTTTTTACTTTTACGTTTTTATTCTAGGAAAAAATTTACATACTTAACTTCCATACTGCAAACAGTATACTCTACACACTTATTTACTTGGCTGAATTAACATCGCTACGAGAGGTTTAGCGGAAATTGTCCAGGTATACATTATCCAAACAAGGAAAATTCCAAATATTAATTTTAGCAAACAATCAGCGAAATATAAATATGTAAAGACTCGTCTCGCTCGAGGCAATGTCGAAGGATCATCCTTTAGGTAATATTGCCTCGTACCTAAAATGTACTTTAATATATATTCGTTCCAATGGATAACTTTCGTGTCCATGAAAAATATCTCTTTATCAGATGGACATAATCGATGCTGCAAATCGCGCAGATTGTCATTGCTGTAATTAAATTCACATATCAGAATATAAAATATAGATTATTAATTAGTTTATCAAGTTGATACGTTATTTAAAAAAGAAATTCAACTTTTTACCGAAAGATCCACTGTTTCATAGTGTAATATTGAAGCAAATCTAATCCGGCATTTACTCTATTTTGTACTCGCACCAGGAAGGGCTTATTTCCAGTCACAATAAGTAAACTGTCTAACAGATAGGCGGGTATAGTTTGAAAGAATATGACGGCAAGCCAGTGTAAAACTTTGGAGGAAGTCATTCTTCCACCGGGATACCATAGCGGTTCTAAAACGCATGTTGCATGTTAGATATATATTACATATTTTTTTTTGTACAATATTGTTATGCAATGATGTAATATTCTTTACGAGAAAAAGGGTTGTCGAATACATGTTTCTTCCCAAGCTCTAAAGCGTCACCCCAAGAAATCGGATTCTCTTGATTCGCTGTGGCGTTTAAAAATATCGGTTTGATAGATTTCTCCGTCCCGACTTGCCAAGCCAGAGCTATTGTTGCGTTTATAGCCATATCGCAGGGAATTATATCACTCATGTAATCCGCGTTGCAGAGCATAGATCGTATCACTCCTTTACCCGCGCCGATCATTAATCCAGTCGGGCCATTCATATTGTCCACCCAGCCAGGCACAGGCTCTTTGTAAGATGCTATCACTAAAATCAGATTATTGTCAACATTTTATTAATCCTATAAATGAGACGTCGATAATTCCAATAAGAAAAAAATAAATGGAAAGTATAGAATAAATCTTTTCATTCGAAGCTTAATTTTTTTAATAAGAAAAAAATTGAATGTAAAAGTAGTTGGTAAAATTGATTTCTGGAAAAGGAAAATTACTCAGCAAACGAAAATAGATTGAAATGGATTGGAAATTTTCAA